GGGGGAGGCCGGAGGGAGGGGGCAGGGCCGGGCAGGGCCTTGGGGAAGAAGTGCAGCTACAGTGTTTGGGTTTCTCCTCTCAGAGAGTTGACAATGCTAATCGGGGTGTCACGTTACTGGATTTTTAGGGAAGCAGCCAGATCACTGCTGCACCCATGGGGGGTGTTTGCCCCAAACGTAGGTAGAAAGGGGCCATGTGACGTGTCAAACAAAAGCTTCTGTTCTACTGATTGTGAATATGCTATTCATGGACTTGTATCGTGTCTGTATGCGGAGTTATAATGATGTGTTGATGCTGGAAGATTCTCTGTATGAGGAAGAGCAAGGGGCAAGGAAAGCTCAGCCTATGGCTATGCCAATTAGCAAGGAGACAATGAATCTCTAGGTGCCAGCAGGGCCGGCCCGAGCCCTTTTGGCGCCCTGGGCCCAGGCCTGCGGCGCTGCCCCCGGGTGCAGGACGCAAGCACCGGGCCGTGCAAGGCCCCACAGCCGTCGGGGCAAGGGTGCTGCTGGCGTCGCGGGAGCCGGGCGCATGGGTCCTGATGGCAGCTGTAAGGGACACCGCACGCCCCTTACACCTGCCACCAGGTGCCCCCCGTCGGTTGGCGCCCCGGGCAGCTGCCCATCTAGCCCATGCCTCAGTTCGTCCCTGACTATGTCTGTCTGTTTCCATTTGATTTGAGGGCCATGCGCTGTCCCCTGTCCGGCCTGATCTGCTCTGTGTTGAAGTCTCCTATGGCCCTGGCCCTGGCCCTGCCACTGAATTGTATGGCACACTCTGGGGTTCATGTGGAGAGACATTGCTTGTTAAATTTGAGCCTGGCACATCCATGCTCTGAGGTCCAGAGTGGTTGCTCAGAGAGCAAGTTCCTTGTCCAGAGAAGATGAGATGGGCTTAGTACAGGTCCTGCCAGCTCAGCTAGAGAAGGAGGCAGCCTTTGAGGTTCTGCTGCCGGGAGTCACATGCATTATGAGCCCAGCCTCCAGATTTGGGATGCTGCTGATTGTGGAACTATGATCTGTCAGGGAAGAGCAGCATCCTCAGCCCAAAGCAGATTTCCACTGCCCTCTGAGGGATATGGAGAGGGCAGGGAGGAGGAGAAGCAATCCCAGTGGCTGCTGTGCACCAAACCCAAATCAATTAACAGCCCTGTTCCTCAGTTCCCCACCCTCTCTGGGAATCTTGCATGGAACGTCCCTTTTGAAAAGATTAATGCAGAATTCGGGTCGCTGTTTCAGAACTGGCTTGGCTACACCAAGAAGAGAGCTCCAATTGGCTTCCATCGAGTGGTGGAGATCTTGCAGAGGAACAACGCTCCGGTGCACGTGAGCAAAGGAATTGCCCTGTCACAGCATGCCGTCTAGTCTGCTATCTTCCCACACTGGATCAGATGTTCAGGCCTTTCAGTCTGCTATCCCATTGCATTGACTCAGACCACTCAGCCACCTGGCTTGATAACATGCTCCCAACAGAGACCATTACCTGCCTTACAGTGTACCTGGGGAATGGGCTGTTTATTTCTTCCTGAACCCCCAAGTGAATTTGCCAGAGAGGGGCATTGACTTATTGTTTACTGTCTGGCTTCCATAGCTGGGGACAATGATGGACTTCCTCATGTGAAGTTCCTCTTTATTTGGGCCAGCTGAGTCCCTTAGGGATATAGATGCTACCGATGCAGGCTGGAAGCACGATGGTGGAGGGTGAGAGGGGGCAAGAACCCACGGGAACTAGACACAGTGAGGTGTGCGTTATGGGGCAGCTAAGAGATGGACAGCAGCAAGTGCTGAAATGTCTGTGGGATCAGATCATGTATGACAAAGCCAAGGCCATCAAATAAATTGTTCCGTATATTAGGTTTCTAGGTGCTTAATTTGGGCAAGGTTCATCTGATGGAATTGCTCTCTGGGCTGGCAGGGCCCATGAGGAGGGCTTGGATTCACTACCCCTGAAACACACTGAGCAGGTCATCTGTGAGGCTATCCCATCCACACACTGCCCTCCACTTGCAGAGGGGGCCAGACTGTATGGCGATCTTCTGTAAAGGGCTAGTTGTCTGTAGCTGGGATATATTTAGGGAGATGAGGGAAGGGTGACTGGGGAAAACAAGCTCTGCTGATGGCTCCTGCCCTTCCCATCTAGGTGCTGCAGGAGTACGTGCGTCTGGTGGAGGACATAGAGGCAAGGTTGAGCCTTGCCATGAAGTATAAGTGCCACGATGTTGTTATTGATGTGAGTTCCTGCTCTGCAAAGGGGAAGAAGGTCTGCACCCCCGCATATACACACACTTGGCTGAGGCCAGGCTCTCCCGCATCTCCCTTGCCTTATTGCCCTGTGCCCATCTTGTTTACCTCTGGGTGTACTTTCTCTTTGTTTTTGGTGTCAGCTGGTGTTCCCAGAATCTGCTAAAGCCAAGTAAGCACTGCTCACCCTCTTTCTACCTCTGCCGGGGCTATCCCTAGCAGGGATGTGGGGCTCAGTCCCCTTCCCCATACTACAGGCCTCTGCCCCACTCCATCCCTTCCTCCAAACCTGTCTGCTCCACCTCCACCCCACCTCTTCCTGCCCCCTCTGGTCCCCTGGGAACCTCTTCTTCAGGCCTTTTCCGTGCACAATACAAGCCAGGAGATTACTGGGGACTTGATACAGGGCAGCAGTAAGAACCACCCCTCTAGCCTACTTCCGAGCAATGCAAGGCTCAGGGGTATGGGCTCAGACACTGCACTTCCTGCTGCCACAGGGAAGTCATGTAGTCAGCTATAAAATTAACCTGTAAGCCTAGGGTTATAGGTTAATCTTGTCAACTACACACATTCTCCCCTGCCCTGCTGCCTCTGTATCAGAGGCAGCAGCGCAGGGGTGTGGGGCAAGGGAGACTGCCATGAACTGCAGAGTAGCAGGGGGCTCCCCAGCAGTGGGGCCAGAGCACACTGGCTGCCAGCCCCACCCCCAGGGACTATAGAATAGTCGAGTAACTGATAAGAATTCATGCAGTTATTCAATTATTCATTTACCCGATATCTAACATCAGCAGTGAAGCTGAATACAGCAGTGTGGGAGATGGGTGACAGAACAGGGCAGAGCAGGCTGCTGGTAGGTCTGGATTCTGCCACCATGATGAGTGGTGGGTACTTGACCCCTGCTGCCCTGCAAGGCTCCCTCAGGTAATCGCTCAGGCTTCTCTGTGTCCCCTGGCTTCCCTAGGGGACTGTCCTGTCCATAGAATGGCTGAGGTGGCTTTGGTGGGGCCCCCAACGTGCAGAGCCTGGGGCAGACAACCCAAACCATCCTGTGGATGTGACAGCTCTACCCCCACCCTCCAGCAGTTCTGCTGGTGCCTCCCAGCCTGCTGTTCTTAGGTTGGCTCCTTTGGAGTAGAGATGTGTGCTAGAGTGGCCTGAAGCTTAACATTTTCTCTAGTGCAGGACTGTGAGCTTCAGTCATTGGGGTGCATAGTTGGTGCATTAACCCGTAGAGCCTCTCCTTTCTGGATAGGACCTTTCCTAAACGTTTGCAGTGAAGACCCAACCTTCCATTGGGGCAGCCCATAAGATTTATGATTTTTCCCTGGACTGTCTCTCCTGTGCCAGATCCCACTGCAGAGTGATGAGTCTTTGGGGAAATCAGGATATAGCCAATGCTGTGGGAAGATCGGAGAGTTATTCCTCAACTGAACAGAGGGGTGGTGCCAAGCAAAGGAAGTTGCTTCACTTAGCTCTGGTTTTGCTGTTTAACTAGACATATAGAGACCTGAAGGATCGTCACCAGCTGATGGCGTACAGGTGTAAGGTGGAGCGGGGCTCTGCAGAAGAGGACAAGATAGACAACATCCTCAGCAACATGGTAAAGAGTGACTCCTCGCCCACATACACTTGAGCTAGCCCTGTGGAGCTGTGTCCTGCAGATACATTACTCAGAAAGAGGACTGGGTTTGTTTGGTGTGTGGCATAGGGGTTGCTGCCCTGAGTCCACCCTTCCTGCTGGGAGCATGCTAGTCCATGAGGAGGTTCCAGTTAGATACTGGAAAGGGGAATCTGTGCAGAGTCTCTGGAAAAGAGCCAGTGCTGTAAAAGGGAGAAGTAGCAACTGTTCAGTGCTGAGTCACCACAGTAAAGGATTTGATTTCTGTCTGTGATAACAAAAAGAGGCTTGAGGCGTTGTGCTAGAACTAGTGTCCTGAGTGTGAAAAACAATCGCTGACCCTAGAGAACTTACAGTCTTAGCATGTGACAAGTGATAACTAGTGGTGGTTTAATGTGGGCATGGGCTCCTTTTTGATGGTCCATTCTCAATACAACCTGCCAGATTATTGCTTTGGGCCTCTTGGAATCAGACACTTTTACCTCTGGGTTTGGTATTCTGTTTGCCTTTTCATGTTAGAAAGGCCCAATTGTATTGCAAGCTTTTAGTGAGTCATAGTCTGACAGAGGACTGCAAGTCAGGAACGTCTGAATCAGAATCCTGGCTTGCTACATAGCCTTGTCTCTTTCCTTTGTGCCTTGGTTTCTCCATCTGAGCCAGGCAAGCAATCCTGACCGCCCTTGCAGGGGAAATGTGAGGTTCTATATATTGTGATGATGATCTTTAGCACTTGTCTTTACTGCTGCTTGTCAGCTCCCTGCATTTCACTCAGCATGGTGCTGACATGCTAGTTCAGTCAGTTTGTACTTCGTCACTTGACTTGGGTTTTTTTTTGTTACTCATCCCAGAGCTGCTGGATTTGGGTTTTTGCATGCTGTAGGAATTGTTTTAATTGACTTAAACTTCAAACATTTCCAGCGACATCAATTTATAAACACGCCCACCTTGTCATTTTTTTGGAACATCTGAGCATGGGGCTGAATTCTCTGGCACTGTTCTCCCTTCCAGTGGGGCAAATACCCCCTGGGCATGTTCCTGAGAGATCTGACCTACTAGCCATGTCCTGTTGTGCTTCTTTTTCAGCAAATCCGATGGAAGAATTGAGACGCGTCTGCTCCTTTCAGAACCATCTCAATTTGCCATTGCCATGCCAGTGAGAGAGGAAACTATGGAGCCAGCCTCAGTGCCAACAGAGCAAGTTCCATTTCCAGTCTTGGTGTGGCTGGTCTGATATTGCTAGGCAGTGCTAATAGCTGCTGGGACAGAAATGCATCCAGGCTGACATAAGGCAAACCCAGCTATCTGGCTAATGGAACAAGACACTGATGAACTGGAATCAATGCTCTGTAACAGGCCAGACCATGAGATGAGCATGGCCTCAGTGTACAGATAGAAGTCAAGTCAGCAAAGCAGCAGCTACTTCAGATTTGTGCAGAATTGGGGCTCATTCAGGTGTGAGGAACAAAGGAATTGTTGTTCCTCACAGCTGAATGATTTCTCCTAGGGACAGAGGTGACCCACCCCTTTGCCATACCAGCTGCTAAGGCTGGGGCAAAGATGGCTGTGTCAGAAGTGAAGATGCAGGAACCACCCACAGGGCTGCATTCTCCCTGCTGCTGTTGCTGCTTAAAAGCCCCACCTTCCTGTGCACCTCTGATTAACCCTCAGAAAAGTATCTTTCAGCTAAGTGCAGATTGCTAGGATGATTACCTTTGTTGATAGCCTCACTCCAGGCACTGCATCTCGACCTGTCTTTTCACCCAAAGGGAAGCTGGCAGCTCAGGCTGGAGTTCATCAAGCCTCTTGTTGAGTTGGTTAGCGAATGAGGTAAAATTCCCTCCTAACAAGTGTGAAGATGCTGGCCCTGCGAAGCTCCTTGGACTAGTCTTCTCCGTGGCATTTACATGGAGAGAATTTTGCTGCGTCCCTTCAAAATGTGACACTCCCATGAGGTTCAGGCTAGCTGTGTCATGTCAGACCACACTTCCTGTTCCTTAAATAAAGCTGCATCTCTGGTTCTCTTTGTGTCTCCTATCTACTTCCTTCTCTAGTGCTTTTCATGTCACCACGTACCCTGATCGTGGGAGGTTGCCCCACCTTTTGAGAAGCGGGCAGGTGAGATGCACCTCAAAGTATCCCAGGGTCATAAGAAATGTGACTGGTGGGACAATTTTGCCTTAAAAGAGAAGCTTTTCCCAGGCAGCAATCTCAAATCCTGGATGTTCTTAGTAGGAGCACATCTGACAGCAAGTGGTTCCGAGAAACACACAGCCTTGCAAATGGCCATACAAAAATGGTAGTTATTTTATCTGTTGAAGCTAACAGCAGCCCCATGCCAGTCCTAGGGCAGAGTCTGGTTCCAGGGTGCCCCCCTGGTATGCTGTAACAACCCTAATTAAGTGTATGATAAAAAGGGAATTTTCAGAATATTTTTCTGATATATATGTCTCACTTTCCACTGTTTGCTGCATTGTTATCTAGTGGGTGGGGAAGGACTGGTTGGTCTACACTAGGAACTTGCATTGCCATAGCTGCATTGGTCAGGGGAGTGCAAAAGCCAAACTCCTGAGAGACATACCTGTACCAACTTAATCCCCAGCATAGACAGCACTGGATTGATGGATGATTTCTTTATTGACCTAAGACTTGTCTGCATTTACAGTGCTTCATCCCTATACCGTTTTGTGAAGATGCTACCTATGCTGATGGGACAGTGTTTCCCATCAGCGGGTTCCCTACCCTCTGAAAGGCAGTAGATATGTCTACACAGGGAGCTAGATCAGAGTAACTGTCATTCAGGGGTGTGGATTTCACATGCTCCTGAGGAACACAAGTTATACTTGCGTAAACTTGTAGTGTAGACCAGGGCCTAGTTGCCGTCTGTCAGGGAGGTGGATTACCTGTACTGATGGAAGAATGCCTCCTATTGGTATAGTATCTCTACTGCACCAGGATAATATTGTAAGTGGATTTGCCAAAACCTTCAAGAGAATGTTGAATGTTGCCTAGCTGTCTGAGCCAGGATGGCCTAGGCTGACTGTATCAATGGAGAATCTGAGAAGGCAATGGCAAATCCAGTCAGTAGGACAGGCACCTAGCAACCAACAATGCAGAGGCCGATGAATTTCCTGACCTCTCAATAGGGAAGCCAAGCGCAATCACTCAGTTTAAGAACAAAGGACTGGAACGTGTGAGGTAGGAAGGTGAGAGTTGGCTGCTGAAAGGAAACTGGGCTCCCACCTTGGAGCTGACCAAGTAGTTCAGACTGAGCCTAAGCCTGAAGAAGGAGTTCACTGTGGATTGGCTGGGATTCTGTGCTCACCAGAATGGATGATGTTTTAACTTTCATTTTTCTATGCTAATCTGAAGACTTATGTTCCAGTTGTCTAATAAATTTGGCTCTTTTGAAAGTGCTGCCTGAGTGTGTCTGTAAATACTTGGTGATGTGCATTAGTCCCTGAAGAGTGGACAGGTCTCTGCCAGGGGTTTGGCTCAGTTGGACTTATTGAACAGAGCTCACAATATGAAGTAGGAGTGATGAAGCCTTAGAGGTTCAGTTTGAGGAGGTGGTGAGGCATTGTGGCCTAAGCAGTGCAGAAAGAGCAAAACACCTGTGGGTCTGGCACATTGAAGGGGCTTCTCAAAACTTTCCCAAAGCTGGTGGTCTAGCACCTATCCTGTGGATCCAGGATTGTGCAATTCTGGGGCCCTACATTAGTAAGTAGTAAGGCTTGTCCCTCTTGGGGTGAGTGCTGAACTGTGGAGTTTGGAAGCAGGGAAGGGAGCTGCTCAGGAATCTTGATAGCTCTTTAAATACTGCAACAGTGTAGCACTGGGAGCTAAATATGCTGGAAAAGGAACCCGAGAAATGCAAAAGCATCCTTTCCTGAGTTTGGAAATCGGGTTTCTGGACAGTGACTGTCTCTCATTTCGTAACCACTGCGAAGAGCAATGTCCAGCTGAGGGGTTACCCCTGGTAATGCCACTGCCTCCAAAACCCAGAGGGCTGCTTGTGACAGTTATCTTCTCTTTCTGAATGGTGATAGTGGAACTGTGAAAGCAATGGCATGACTACTGTTTGATCTTACAGTCTCTTAATGGATATGGTTTAGAAGTGTCCATATGTGCTGGGGGAAGAGAGTTGGATTGTCAATTAGACTTTTGTTTGGCAAGCCATCCAGGCTTCAGATTGTCTGTTCAATTCTTTATTATCCACAAGGAGGTATGTGGCACAAGCCAAGCCAAATCTTATTGATTTTAGTCAGTCATGAGGGGGCTTTTCTAGATCACGGTGGAGTAGTAGTGTGATGTTTGCCACTATCTTTATGTACTCCATTCATGTAGGCTATGTGCTTGCATAATATTAGCCAGTAATAGCAGCCATGAAGTGGTGTTGATGGGAGCGTGCTGCCAGCTATGCAAAAAGTGACATTAATTTTGGTGTCCACTAAAATGGTGTGCGGGCTTCTGCTCCAAACTGGGACACAGTCATATTCCACTGTGGAATGGACAACAACTCATGTTTCTGTTTGGAGTGTGTCACTTTCCCCAAGATGTTCTTGAAAGTTTTTGTATAATGTTGACCCTGGCCTACATTTTCCTTTTGGTTTTTGCAAGGTGGTGACAGAAGCTGAGATTGCAGCAGAAATGGATGCTTAATGTTTTCTTAGCATGGGTATTTTTTTCAAATGAAAAGCTGAGGCCACTGTTTTTGAGGCATTTGGTTTTAACTGCCATGCCTTAAAATAGGTTTCTAGTGTTCTCAGGTCCTGTTCTAGAACCTTCTCTGAGGTTTCAAATGAGGAATCCTGAGTAGCCAGTGCAATGTCATCTGCATATATGAACTTCAATACCTTTGTCCTGTCCCTTCTCTGAAGCCCCATCCTGCTCACTCCATCTCCTCTCCCTTTGCTGCTCACTCCCCAGTCCTCCCTCACTTGCTCATTTTTTGCAGGGTGAGTCTGGGGATTTGGGTGCAGGAGAGGGTGCAGACTCTGGGGTGGGGCCTGCAATGTGGGGTCCTGAGTGCAGGAGAGGGCTCTGGGCTGGGGTGTATGGAGCCAAATGGTTTGGCATGTAAGAGGGGGTTGGGAGATGGAAGGGGGGACAGGCCCTGAGCTGGGGGATGTGGATTCTGTAGTGACTGAAATGAGGGGTTCAAGGTAAAGGAAGGAATTCAGAGCTAGGGAAGGAGGCTGGGTAGGAGAGTTTAGGTGTAGGAGGGGGATCCAGGATTGGGCAAGATGTTGGGATGTGGGCTTCTAGTGGCACTTACCTCAAGAGGCTCTCCAATAGAGGTGACCCATCTCTTGGCTTCTAGGCATAAGGCTGCTAGGAGGCTCAGCATTGCACACCCTGACTCTGTGTGCAGATGCCACCCCTGCAGCTCCAGTTGGCTCTGGTTCCTGGCCCATGAGAACTGTGGAGCCAGCACACAGGGCAAGGGCAGCACAGAGTCCCCCAGCCACTCTGTGCCTCAAAGCCTCTGGGTCTAACTGCTGCTTCTGGGAGCCACAAAGAGTCAGGTAGGGCCTTCCAGCTCCACCAACCAGAGTTGTAATGGCTTGGTCAGCAGCACTGACCAGAGCCACCAGAGTTGTTTTTTTGACCAGATGTTCCAGGCAAAAACCAGACACTTAGCCACCATAATCGCAAAGAGCAGATGCTGCACCCTGCTCCCCTCCTGCAGCAGGGTTTGGCCTCAGTCATCCCTCTTGCCTCTCCCTCCCCCCCCGGCCCATTTTGAGTAAAAGTCATAGGCAGGTCATAGGCGTCTGTGAATTTTTGATTATTTTCCTGTGACCTATCTGTGACTTTTACTATGCATACCCATGACAAAATCTTTACCTTACTCATGACTCTTATTTTTGCCCATTCTCTGTGGGATGGATGATGTGGTCCTGGCCCTTTAAGGGTCTGGGGTCTTAAGCAAACAGCTAGGTTCTAACAGGGACATTTGGTAACTAAGCAATAGCCATGACAACTCACTTGTTTGTGCTGAGTTGCCTGGCTCCAGACCAGGGGGTTGCCTGTTGTTGAGAACAGCACGGAGGCAGCTGTTCAAGGGTCTCAGCTTGTGGGAGATCCAGGAGGCTGCTGAGGCTTGAGTTTATGCAAGAAGGGCTGTTTCCTGCTTGATGACGGGTGGTTTCTCAACAGCACTTCAGCTGGGGGCAGGACAAAATACAACATTCAGACAATGGAAAGTGCACAGTGGTTGTGAACAATGTTCCCTCTATTTTTTCCATCCATGTGTGGAATAAATTGTGTTATGTGCACCAAAACACATCTGGAGTACAGATGTCTACTCCAGTGGAAACACATGCTGCCAGCTGTGGGTGCAATTGGCGCTGCTACTCCAGTGGAAACACATGCTGCCAGCTGTGGGTGCAGTTGGCGCTGTGTTAATCAGCTGGATGGAATTTGAATCTCTTAGGTGGCTGCTCAAGTACTCATCTTAAAGGGAACACTGATTGTGAGTTATTCACTTGAGTGTTCCTTACTCATGCTATAGTGCCATCGGAGTCAATAGGGCTAGTCATGGGACTAACAGCTTCAGGATCAGGCTCTTTGTTTTTTGTGATGTTATAAACAAAGCAATTTGCTTATAACTGGAGAGTCTTGGGGTCTGACTTGGTGCATCAGGCCTGCTGTGGGAGGAGGGCATCGTTGGCAATATCCAGCCTCCCCTACTCAGTGGGTGCTTTGCCTGAGAAAGGAGTGCTGGAGAAACCCATAGGAATGCCCCATCCTTGCTGCATTATCTTTGTGTAGTTAGGCCTATTTTCAGGATCAGTTTCTGGTGGGCACAGGTGCAGCTCCCAGCCCTTGGGACAAGAGGAGGGAAGTGCCTTTTGTTGCTCAGTAGCCCCCCATACTGGCCACTGAGGCAATGACTGACTGCAGTCCTTAAGTAGGAGAATGGGTGGGCCTTGGGCTGCTAGGCCAACTGATGCAAAAAGCTGTCTGCTTCCCTGAAAAAGGCCTGACTGTTGCCTGGCTTGAAGAAGTGGTTTACTCAATGTCTAAAGCTTCCCATCACTGTCAAATGAACTGGAATGGTGACTCCACGATATGGGTCCGAGTCCAGAAGGCACCGAGCTCTTTCATTTCATTTGGAGTCAGGGGTGCTCAAAACTTTGTCTAAAATTGGTAACAACCAGAGGGTCCTGTGTTTGCACTGTGATGTGCTTTGCAATGAGACTGCATGCTGCTCCTGTGAAAGCCATGTGTGGCTCTGGTGAGGCTCTGACCTCTGGCAACAAAAATACCAGACTGTATGCTGAGACCTAAAAGCTGTTTAGCTACTCATGCTGAGGGGAGAGATACAGAAGGAAGGAAGGGAGATGATTGCACATCACCTCAGCAGCAGGGGTGGGAGGGTAGGAAGCTGAGGATGTTGGGGCACCCATTGCTGACACAACTCACGCTGGTGATGAATGAAAGATATAATATTTGGAGGCTAGAGCTGCTCTCCTTGGCTTAGTTTTGTATTACCTGTCAATAAGGAGCAGCCCAAACTACATCCTTCCTAGTGCTGTATAAGCAGCTTGCCAATTCTAGCCAGCCACAGCTACACTCCTATACTGTAATGAATTAGATTGTAGCTCCATGGAAATGTTAGTCCCAGCATGTAGTGCTCCATCTTGATCTCAGGTTCTGCTGCATTCCATGTTGGGATTTTTCTGTTCTTCCTTCCTTTCTTCCTTCCTACTGGTGATGCGTCATATTTGCTACCCCTTCTCCATGGGGATTGGCTGCAATGCCAAACTGATGGATTCTGGGACAGTCTTCTAACTGGTGCTCATTGCTGAAGGTTCTCATTCAGGGCCACGATGTCTCATATCACGGAGAATTTGAAGACCCTTCAGTCTGAGCAAGCAGCGGAAGAAAGCAAGCAGCCTTTATTGTGTCTGAGAAGACGCTGCAAGGGGATGATGGTGAATGCGTGTGCCCATGCTGTTTTCTTCTGCAAGCTCCTCTGTGTTCTCAGGTAAGACTGAAATAAGTGTCCTTTCCTTTAATGTTTCTCAGTGCTGATGAAAGGAGCTGGCTTGACAGGCCTGGAGACTGAAGGCCTCCATTAATCTTCAGAAAAACGGCAGCCAGGCTAACTGGCAAAATTCCCTTCACCAATAGACCTTAGTTCTCTTCTGGTGGAAAGAAGAGGAAAGAAGAGGAGTGAGAGAAGAGTTGAATTGTCAACAAGAAGGCTAGTTAGTTCAAGATGTGGTGGTATAATTTTATGATGTGGAGGCCCTTTTCACTAATTCAGCATGGGTTAAGGAAATCTTCAGAGTGTAATGAGGTGTCTTGGTTCCTGTCAGTCTGGATGCCCTGGAGGGTGGAAGACTCCATATTTCATTCCCAATCTCCTGAGCCTGTGAGATTTCCCCTTCTGTTCTGGGTGAGGTGACTGTGACCATTCCTTTCAGATGTGAATCTGTGGGCTAGTGGATGGAATTCAAGGTGTAGATATTGCCCTTTGGAGCCCTAAATGTCTTGTGCTCATGTTGTCTCTCCCCAGACCATATTACTGCAAATGTGGTCACAAGGGGTTTTTGAGTTGTAGCTCCTTGATGTTGAAGGAAGGAGCTGCTGGGGGGTGTCTTCCATGAGGGCCTCTCAGGGTCTGGAATCGACTCCCATTCCTGCGAGAAACCTGTGACCCTTCTGCACATACTGCAGAACTCCCCTTTTCTTCATGAGGATTTGAAGAGTGGACTTGGTAAGGGATGGATAGGGTTATTTGTTATATGGGGTGATTCAGAAGTGGGGTAGGACTGGATTATGGTGATGTGGGTACCTAGCAGAGGATCTAAGGTGAATTTAGGTAATGATCAATGGGAATTTTAAATCTTGGAAAGGAGTAACTGGAGCTTGTGGGGAGGATGGGGCTGTCACTGGCTTTTATGTTTATAAATGGGAATGAATACGTAGCATGGGACAAGTTTTCTCTCCTTTCAGGAAAATCTGGTCAGTGGTTTCTTCCTAAGGAGGACAGTGTAGTGCCCAGTTTCTGGGTAATGGATACATTCTAGTTCCTGGTGGGGTGATGCCAGCTCTGTGTGTCATTTCTCAGGAAGAAAGAGGACAGAGGGAAGGTTTCGCTGATTTCCTCCAAAGAATCCATGGGCAGTGAAAGCCTGAAGGTTGGGATTATTGGCGGAGGCCACATTGGGAAGCAGCTGGTGAGGGCACTACTGGAGCTGAGTGGCGTTTTGGCTCAGAATATCCACATGTCTACCAGGAGGCCAGAGACTCTGTGTAAGAGCTATTGAATCATGGGAATTTGAATGGGAAAAGACCTAGCATATCTAAGCCAAGTACCCCAGACACTGCAAAACTCATCTAGTGGGTTCATTCCTTCTTTGACTGACTTCATATTCAGTGTCCTAACTTGAGCTGGTCAGAATTTTTTTTCCACAGAAAATATTAGACTATATTCAAAAACAAGAGCTCAACATTTTCAGTGGAAAGCAGACACTTTTCAGCTAATTAAAGTTTTCCACACACAAAAATCCATCAAAAACCATTTTTATGTACACTTCTTAACCAGCCCTAAACTGAAACAAAGGAGTCTTTACTCTTTTCTTTTGAAAGTCTATTTTAACTTGAAAATAGACTTGAAAAAATGAATGGTCCTGTAGCACCTTAGAGACTGACTAAAATACAGGCAGTCCCCGGGTTATGTACAAGATAGGGACTGTAGGCTTGTTCTTAAGTTGAATCTGTATGCAAGTCAGAACTGGCGTCCAGATTCAGCCGCGGTTGAAACTGATCAGTTTCAACCGCGGCTGAATCTGGACGCCAGTTCAGACGCCCGCGGAGGGGCTGGGGCTGCAGGGCAGCTCAAGCGCGCCTGGGCTGTCCCGCCGCCGGCTTCCCCCGAAGGGAAAGTCTGGGGGGAAGCCGGGGGGAAAGCCGCTCATCAGTTTCAGCAGCAGCTGACTTGGGGACGCCTGGGGTTCTTAAGTTGAATCTGTATGCAAGTCAGAACTGGCGTCCAGATTCAGCCGCGGTTGAAACTGATCAGTTTCAACCGCGGCTGAATCTGGACGCCAGTTCTGACTTGCATACAGATTCAACTTAAGAACCCCAGGCGTCCCCAAGTCAGCTGCTGCTGAAACTGATGAGCGGCTTTCCCCCCGGCTTCTCCCCAGACTTTCCCCTCGGGGGAAGCCGGCGGCGGGACAGCCCAGGCTGCCCGAGCCCCTCCGCGGCTTTGCTCCGCGTCTTCCTGGTCTGCAGACCAGGGAGCCGCAGAGCAGCTTTTCTCGCCCCGGAGTACACGGGCGGCGGGACCACGAGGTCCCGCAGTCTGTGTCCTCCGGGGCAAGAAACGCCCCGTTCGTAACTGCGGATCCGGCATAAGTCGGATCCGCGTAAGTCGGGGACTGCCTGTATACAGATAGTATCATGAGCTTTGTGGGTACCACCCACTTCTTCAGATGACAAATATGGAACAAGGGTTACAGATATATAGTAGAACTAGGGGGATGTGCCCCCTGCTTGCTACACACAGCAACCCCCCTCTGTCTGGCCACTATGCGTAACAACCCTCTTCTCTCTGGCTGCTTTCGCTTTGCTGAGAGAGCCTGTTGATGCTGATGACGTGATAACACCTATGGTGTGGGGGCAGGGAGCAAGGTGCAGCTGGTGGTCTGAATTGGCAGGGCAGGGCTGGGTTGATATGGTGGGCGGCAGAATGTTCCTGCTGGGCAACAGAATGATGATATCAGTGTCATCAGTATCAACAAGCTCTCTCAGCCACGTGAAAGCAACTACAGAGAGTAAGGTAGGCTCGGAGATGCTGTGATGGCCATGGAGCGGCGGGATGGGTGCAAGGCACGGTGGGGCCCTCAGGCAGCATTGATTAGCATGGCCATAACGGCGGCCGCTGGCCCACCAGACAACAGAATGTGTTAAATTTGCATATGAAGGCCAGTTTCTCAGATTTTCTCTCAGCTGGTTCCTGAATTTATTTTGTAAGAGGATAGCCACTTTTAGATCCAGTAGTGAGTGTCTGGGCAAGTTAAAATGTTCCCCAACAGATTTCTTACCAGCTAGAGACAGTCTGCGGAACTGGCCTTCATACGCAAATTTGACACATTCACGCAAGAATTGAACAAAGATACATCTTGGATGGGCGGTTACATTCAACACCCAAATGACATCAAAAGCTGAGTATCAGGCACAATTTAATAGTCTAATTTAGCGCAGACACTATAACTGACAGGGTTTTTTCCTCCCCCTCTTTTTCTGCTATATATTTGTACCCTGGACCCTTTGCTCCCTATTTGACATCTGAAGAAGTGGGTTGTGCCCACAAAAGCTCATGATACTATCTACATTTTTTGGTTAGTCTCTAAGATGCTATAAGCTCATTCGTTGTTTAAGACTTTTTAGTTACAAACTAACATGGCTACCCCCTGAGACTTTTATTCCATAGGCTGTTAGCATTAGGAAATGTTGATAATTCTATGTTTTCCTACCTTTTTTTAATTTAACTTCATTATTCTATAATACCTCCTTAGAGCACCCTAACCAACACACCTCCTCTGTGGGATTTACAGCCTTCAGATATTTATAGAGAGCTATTGTTCCCCCCTCATTAGTTATCATTATAAGTGATACATATTTTGCTGCTTTAATCTTTCCTCAGAAGTCAGACCCACCAGCTCTTAATTGTTTTTGCTGCACTCTTCTAAATTCTCCCCAGCAGTTTTTCCCATCATTGCTCAGTGGCTGCGACACCAACACTTGCATGTTAAATATTCACTTGATGGATAAAATAGCTCTCCAAATCAATATCTGTGTTGACCTGAAAAACCTCTGTTGCCAGGGTCTCTCCTCAGTCTATAATTGTAGGTTCAGTAGTACAAGATGTTCCTTTCTCTCGTTACTCCAAAATGTTAAAAATACAAAATGAAAAGTGCAATTTTATAGATCATAATTGCATGCAAAATGTCAAATGCCACGTAAAACTGACTCATAAACCAAGATGAACAGAGGATAACTGTCCTGCAGGGAGCTGCTTAAAACAATAAACCCTCTCAAAAATGGGGGGAGGGGAAGGGAAAGGTATTATTAAATGGCTTTTTATAGATCTTGAAAATCAGCCAGATCCTGAGGCTTGGCTGATCCAGTTAAAAGTGTAATCAATATTCATGAAACAGTGCCAAACAACCACACTTTCTTAATATTTATTCTTAGCAGAGAGGCTTATTTCTCTGTAACTTGGCTGCCATGGGCTGTGCATCAGTAATGTTAATGGGTAGCTGCTAATTAAGCTCTTAAGGACCGTCTGGTGAGAGGAGCTAGATTGCCCCCCTTATTAGATGGGTTGATGCATGCCTCTCATCCCTCACCAATGGTGCCTGAGAGCAAACACCATGATGACCCTACACCAGTGTGGATGGTGCAGACTAACTAGTTGCTGCTCCTGGCTTGTTGGTGCTGGGGAGGTGATTGTCTTTTTTTGTGTCTTCTTTAGCAGAGTTCCAGCAGCTGGGAGTTGAATGTTTTTATGACAACGGCCAACTCGTGGCCTGGGCAGACATTGTGTTTCTTTGTTGCCTCCCATCTCATCTGCAGCACATCTGCTCAGAAATTCACAGTTCTCTTCGGGAGCCCTGCATTGTGTACAGCCTAGTCACTGCTGTTCCGTTGCCCAGGTAGTATTGATTGTAAGTTCTGGTTTGATAGCGCAGCACACTAAATCCCTTGATTTGTGCACACACAAGGCAAATACTGCCAATGTGTTGACCTGGCACGTGGACAACAGTGCTGCTAGCTCTCATGATTTTATCACAAGTTGCACAATATCTGATGGTTTTCTTAAAGCTCCAGCCTCTACAGCCATGTGTACATGAGAATACATGAGAACTTCAGCTTTTTTTTAAGTAAATTTCTAGTTCTCATGGTTAAAAAGTTTGAAACAAGTCCTGAGTGTCCCCTAGGGCTCAAACCTCAGGAGGCCAGAAATAAAAAGCAGGTAACGTGAAGTAACAGATAAAACAAATGAATGATTTTTAAATTCACTGCATGATTGGGGAAGGGGGGCTGACCTAGGATTTTTGACTGATTGAGATGGTGATACTGGGAGAAGTTCAGCCTTTGTGGCCCATTCAGTTCTTGGCTGCTCTGCTGAAATGGCTAAAAAGGGAATAAATGTAACAAGGTTCTTTGTGCTGTAGACATCATGGGTATGTCTAGACTACATCCCTCTGTCGCCAGAGGGATGTAAATAAGACATACCAAAATTGCTAGTGAAGCGGGGATTTAAATATCCCCCACTTCATTAGAATAAAAGTGGCCGCCGCTTTTTGCCGACATGGTATCTGGCCGGCAAAAAGTGGCAGGCTA